AATGTGATCTTTACATATCATGCAAACACATGCCTGAGTAAATATATGAGGTTTAATATAAAAACGAAAGCTTACATTAATGTGGGGCACGCACGGCTGACCGTGTGCTCAAGGTGAAGAGCAGCAGCTGGAGCTCGAGTGCGGGTACCTGTGCGCCCCAAAACTCCATGGGAGGAGTGAGGGAGAGGGGACTGTCACCAGGCCACCCCATGCTTTCTCACTTCCTTCTCTGTCTCTCTCTGATGAGCATACATGCTCTACAGAAAAATTTAAAGAAAAAGAACATTAGTTAGAAATATGTTTATACACGTTAGCAACACTTATGACACAGAAGCACTATAAAAGGATGATTATTATTTCTCTGAATATTTAATATTTGGGGCCAACATGCAGAAATACCTAATAGCACTACGGTGTCTAACCTAGAAATGAAAACTTAGAACAGACGCGATGCACTGAGCTAAGGTTGCCATGGGACGTGTTCCAGAGTGTAAATTAGATTATTTCCCCCAAAAGTATATTCAGGCTTAAATTTCTGATTCGTCTTTCTTCTGTTGTAGAATAAATAGTAAAAGTATTCAAATCTATCTTTCTGCCCTTCCTCTTCCTTAGGAAAATACAGATTCACCGGGTTTTATGTTCTTCCAGGTTCTAAACTCTTTTCTTTTTTGTTTAAGTGAGCATAGTTGGCGTGTGTGTGTATGTGTGTGAGTCTGTGTGTGAGTGTGTAAGTGTGTGCGCGTGTGCACGAATGTGTGTATGAGTGTGTGAGTGTGAGTCTGTATGTGAGTGTGTAAGTGTGTGCACGAATGTGTGCGTGAGCGTGTGTGTGAGTCCGTATGTGAGTGTGTGTGCACGTGTGCACGAATGTATGAGTGTGTGTGAGTCTGTGTGTGAGTAAGTATGTGCATGTGTGCACGAATGTGTGTATGAGTGTGTGAGTTTGTATGTGAGTGTGTGTGCACGTGTGCACGAATGTGTGTATGAGTGTGTGTGGGTGTGAGTCTGTATGTGAGTGTGAGTCTGTATGTGTGAAAGTGTGTGCGAGTGTGTATGAATGTGTGTGAGTGTGCGAGTGGGGGGCTGGAACTTTGGATTTGAGGAGAAAGAACCCCCAAAGCTTTAGGTCAGATATAATGAAGATGGAGGAGGCTGGAGGCTGACGAAACCCGGGGAAAAGATGAGGACTCCTCCCAGTGGGAAGGACGCGTTTGCTGAGAAGGGCTGGGATTCTGGTGCGGTGTCCCGGGCAGCTCGCGGGTATCAGCCCCGCAGAGTGGCAGAGTGGCATACATATCATGCAAACACATGCCTGAGTAAATATATGAGGTTTAATATAAAAACGAAAGCTTACATTAATGTGCACCGGGCCCGGCATGGTCTGGGGGGCTATCTCTGTCCCGAACGGGCTGAGCGAGCTTGGTGAGCAAACGGTGCTGGAAACCACACTCCTGTGACACTGTTGGACCATGGGAGTGACGTATTTCCAGTAAACTGCCATGGGAAAAGCACGGAAGTTGCTCTGACTCCAAATGACTAAACTGTATGACGTACCAACCAGAGAACGGGGCTTAAGAAAATAGAGTTTGACTGATCAAAGTAATGAGATGTGTCCAGCTAGAAATCCCAACGTACCCGTTTCCTGTTTCTGTCTGCAAATAACAGTAAGCGATTTAACACTCAGTCGGTTGTTAATTAATACAAGTTGATTAAAATCGCATAGTACTGGGGCCAGCAGGAAGCAAGTTGGTGAAGAGTCTGGATTCCCACACGGACAATCACAGTTCGAGTCTTGGACCTGGCAGCTTGGAAATCATGCTGGCCATGTATGCATGCATGCCCAAAACCCCAGAGGAGAATGGAGGAGGAACTGCGGCATGATCATCTCCCTGGGAGCGATCTCTTACGATCTCTCTCTGTCTCTCTTTGGTGAGTGCACACACCCTATGATGAAAAACCTAAAAAAAAAAAAAATTGACAATTTAAACAATAAAATGACAGTTCCTAGAAGTGATCATTTGAAATTTTTCCCCCTTGTTAGAAACATAGACTGGCCCAGAAGTGTTCCACGCCTTTCACAAGGACAGGTGATGGCTTCCAGGAGGCTCCCGGAGACGGGACATGGCCACAGGACAGACGTGTCTGAGCTTCGGCAGCCTGGTGAGAACTGCGTCACTAGGGGCACACTAGAGGCCTCAGTGTGAACTGCTACACGTGTTGGCGCGTGTGCTCGGTGGTCCCGAGGCTCGTGAGCCCTGCACGCTCCTACTGGCTGACGAACCTGACATGCGCATTTCTCATCAGTGCAAAAACAGCTGTTTGGTTTTGTATTTGTTTTTTCACCATCAACCACAAAGTATTTACTGTTCCGTTTTCAGTTTATTGTCAGTGCTGGGAGGTTCATAGAGCTTACAGGATTTTCACTTTTGTCTTGTTTAAAAATTTACCAACTTACTAAATACGGCCATAGGATGAGCAGCGATACCAGTCATACCCACGGATGAAGAATGAGAGAGACTGGGTAATGGGAAAGATGTGGGAATATCTCACAAATTGAAGCAATAGGTTCTTGGTCACTAGCGAGGTGATGCTAGCCTATAAAAATACATTTAACCTAAATAAATTAATTCTTCAAATGTAGAACATAGAGAAGCTAGCCAGTGACAATTGAAATAAAAAAATAACCTAGGTTTGATCTGATTGAAACTCAATATATACTGAATATAGCATGAGCAGGCTGATGCACATCACAGCAATGTCACTTTAGTTAATCATAGAAATAAATATTGAAATTTTTGTTTGGTTTGGTTTTGTTTGGCCATAGAGTGCATGTGCTCACCTGAGAAAGAGTGAGGGAAAGTGAGAAATCACCCTCCTGGGGGGACGGCCACACCACAATCCCTCCTCCTCCATCCCCCCTCTCAGGATTTTGGGCACGCATGCACATGTGCCTGGGTATGATTTTCACATTGGCCATGTGATAGCCCAGTGCCTCCACCACCACACCACCTGCTGGCTGCATTATAAAATTCTGATGTTACCACATTTTAAAATGAGACTCACAGAAAGAAAGTATAAAAATATAATCTAGGCTTCACTGTACTTAGCTACGATTCAGATTTTTTTTTTAAACTAATAGTGTGTATGCATAAGAGAGCATGCACCCCACAATGGGGCCGCTCATACCACAATCTGTTCCCCCATTTCTCCATCCCGTTAGGGTCCTGGGCAGGGACACACATGGACTTGACATGCTGTCCCCTGGGCTGGGATTTGAACCATGACTGACCATGTGAAATTTGGCCTCCTCTGTGCACTGCTCAACTGCAGACCATGAGACTAACTTGGAAATTTTTATATCTGAGAAAGGGTAGGGGACTATCGAAGCTCAGAGGAGAGACTCGTCACTTCTTAAATAACGGAGGTGAAGTTTTGTCTCTAGAAGCAGCGTGATTTGAGCAGGAGGACTGCAGGAGTGAGCGTGCTGTCTGCTCTGTGGAGAATCTGGCCATCCTGCACCAAGAGTGACCCCCCAGTGACAAACTGCAGGGCCGCGGCCACGGGAACTGCGCGTCAGGGTGAGGCCACGACCCAGTCAACCTACCGAGCCTGTCCTCAGGGGCCAGCGTTTTTACAGGACTGACGCGTCAAGAGTTACTTAGGAAGAAAGTACAACAGGGTAGGCATGAGGGGATTGCAAAAACTTATTGGAAAAAATGGAATTAGAGTATGAAGTGATTCGGGTGCAGAAACTTGTGAAATTCATGCTTAGTTTCTTTTATAATATGCTTTTCCATGAACTGGTTGAAGACCCCCTCATATGTTAAGGCTACAACGCCTGTAAGTGATAACCTGAAAAGTGGCGCCCAGCGGAGCCAGCAGGTGTGGTGGGTAAGGTGCTGGACTCCAACATGGTCGAACACGGTTCAAGTCCTAGACCGGGCGGTTTGAAACTCTCATGTGCGTGTGCCCAAAATCCTGAGAAGGAGCTGATTTCTCGTTTTCTCCCTCTGTCTCTCCAGTGAGTGCACACGACCAATAGCTAAAAAACTCTCTCAAAAAAACCAAACAAACACAAAAACAGTGACACTCATTAAAAGATCCCTTCATTACACCCTACCTGTCAACAGCAGGCTTTGCTGTGTTTTTCATTTTAACTCACACTTTTTACCTCCCATGTCATTTCCTTGTTAAACCTGGCCTCATGGGGTATTTGTTCCATGTGTGCTCTTGAGTAACAGAAGACTCTGAAAGGGACACGTGTGTCTGGAACGCACAAAGGTTAACAGACAAGCCCAGAGAAAACGCTGGAGCCAAGCACACTGTGCAAACCTGTTTCCTGGTCCAGCCGGAACACCCTCAGATGAGCTTCCTGTGGCTGCACAGTAGCCACCAGGTTATGGCATGGGGAGACTACAATTTTGGTTTCATTATCAGTTTTCGTTTTCCTTTATTTAAATTACATTCTCGTTTTAAAAAAACAAAAGCAAAAAGATTAGGAGGAAAACCTGGCGTGTTCAGCCAGCCTCCCTCCACAGCTTCCAGGTCTGCTCATCCCCGTGCCCCTCAGACCGGGCACAGGTCTTCATGGCTCTCAATCACAACTGGGGTTAATAGGCCTTGGCCTCCCCGTGCTCTGACCCCAAGCACAGCAGCCCCCACTGCAAGGAAGGAGCTGCTGACTTTCATCTAGCCCCGATTATGCAGGTATGTGCTTCCCTGGGCAGCTGGGGGATCTCTGCAGCAGCTGGCCTCCCCCTGGCATGTGGGCTCTGTCACCAAAAGGCACTTTTAAGCCTTCCTTTGCTGTACACCCTTTGTAGCTCCTTGCTAGACAAAACAAATGCTTGGAGAAGGACAGTAAAGGGGTGGGAGTGGAGGCCACAAAGGAATTGGAGGGGAGGAGCAGGAAGAAGAGTGAGGCTTCCCTCCCTTCTGCCCTAGCCTGCTTCTCCAGGACGACTGGAGGGGCACACAGGGTTTGCAGAGGGAGGCAGGGGCGGCGAGACCTTTGTGCCTGGAGTGACTGCGAGCTGCTGACTGCTTACTGCTCCCCGGTGTTGTCCCCACAATTTACACTGCACCTCGGTCCAGGAGAACAAGTGCATCTGACGGTCACTGTGGATTTCCCTGTTCACCAAGGAGGGAGCGTACAGACTGGACTGCCTATTCAGCAGTAAGACTGCACTTCTGAGATTCGTGCTCTCTCCTGCCACTGTCCGTCAGTTTATCTCCCCCTGGGGTAACTGCTGTATGTCCCTGCCTCTAGGGGAGTGCTCTGCCGGAGGTCACTGTATTACCGTATTCCGACAGCCATGCGTCCTCGCCTTCTGGTCACTGACAGTGGCCCCTAGAATTACAACGGAGCCGACACACTCCCGTCCCCTCGTGTAGCCACAGGTAGGTCTTGGCGACCTGCGTCACTCGGCTGCATGTGACCTCCTTGTGCAAACTAACCGCCTGCCCGGCCTGCCGTGTGACAACAGAGCCTCAACATTTCGGACAGCAGTCACACTTGCTGAAGGTGGCGGAGGGCGGCACTGAGCTGCTCACTCACTCTCATCCCCCGACTTCAGAACATGCTCCTGCTGATAAAACCCACGGTCACTGCAAAAACAGGAGGCTGTGCTACTCTGCAGCCGCGTCCGTCTCAGCTCGTCTGCTCCTGCCTGCGCCCTCCGTTCCGGTGCTGGACTTGATCTCCTGTCCTTGCTGAGCACCGCCCTCCCAGTGAGAGGGGACGGGAGGTGGGAGATGGCCATGTCGCCAGTCCTGACCCTCCCCTGGTCGAGGCTAGCCTCTGTGTTTATGTCTTAGTTTTTAACAGAAAAGTTCAAAAAGAAAAAAACAAATTAACATTTACAAAATAGAAAACAGCTCATAGAATATGGACATAAAGGAAGAAAGTGGGCCCAGACACGGCAGTGCCCCACGTGACGCTATGGCTGCATGGGAGTCCTGGTTCAGATCCTGAGACATTCTGAACAGGCTGGGCACACCTGCACACCTGTGGTCCTGGGGGCTGGGGTGAGCATGCTGGGCACACCTGCACACCTGTGAGCCTCGGGGCTGGGGTGAGCATGCTGGGCACACCTGCACACCTGTGAGCCTCGGGGCTGGGGGGAGCATGCTGGGCACGCCTGCACACCTGTGAGCCTGGGGGCTGGGGTGAGCATGCTGGGCACACCTGCACACCTGTGGTCCTGGGGGCTGGAGGGGGGACATTCTGGGCACACCTGCACACCTGGGGAGCAGGAGAAAGAATTGATGTTTGGCACATTCCTGTCAAGGGTACCTGTCTCTATTTCTCTTACTAAAAACAAAAACAAAACTTAAAAAATGAAAGAAGACTTTTTGTAGTTGTACAATGTAAATTAAAGTTTGTAAAATTTAAAAAAAAAGAAAAACTACATTGAGTTAAGGTTAATTTCTTACCAAACACACACACACACACACACACACACACACACATACACAAAACTAAAAACAAAACAAAACAAAAAAACTACCTTTTTGAAAATACATGACTTTAGTGGCTTACGTGTGCAGTTTATGAAGACCACAGTGGGATGCGGGAGTGCCCAGTCACCACTCATCGACCCACAGAAACGTCCAGCCCTGCGAGCTGTGTTCTTGGTAAGTGCTTCTGTGTCTGTATTTGTACGTGTGTGTTCCATGCTATGACCATGCTTTTCTACATTTACATGTGTCGCTACACAGATGTCAAGGTTACAGCCGCCTGCGTTGTTCAGAACAGTAACTGCAAGCAGGTTTACAGCCTAGGAGCAACAGATTCCACCACAGGGGAGTCTTCACAAAGCTCATGGAAGACGTGGATTATGGAAAACTATGCATAGATTTAAAAATGTTTTGTACCAACATAAACTCGTACTCTAATCGCACTTTTCCATAAACTCATACAGCTGAGGCGCACAGTAGGCTAGACCCCCTAACCACGCAGAAACACCCGCTGCGGTGTTTGCAGAGTGACGAAGTTGCCTTACGGTGCGTTTCTCGGGATGTACCCTTGTGTACGGGTGCACGACTGCCTGAGAGCATCCTCCTTCTGAAGGAACTGTGTTTTCCAGCAAAGCTTCGAGCCGGCACACAGATCCCCAAATGGAGAGAGTTGCTCTCACTTGAAGCAACGACTAAGATGATGAGAGAAGGTTCGAGTACAAATATGTTGACCCCCAAACCGCCCCTCTTCCCGATCCAAGTCGGGAGCCAGGCCATCCCTGGACCAGGACAGTCCAGTGCAGCTCTGGCCAAGTGATCCTGATCCGCAGAAGTTCCGACCTAAGGCGTCATGTGGCTGGAGGACCCCTCCAGTTACTGGGAACCCCTGGCACGGAGCTGGGATCACATGCAACCGAAAAAGAATGCAAAACCAGTCAAATAACAACCAAGTCTGTTCATAAAAGGGAAATAAAAGCATTCTTTACTTTACTGGTTATCAAAGTGAGGCTGCATTTAAGGGTTCAGGTGGGTAATGGTACGGGACCAACAGGATCCTGGGGTTTAAATTGTTACTCTGGGTACTGGCTTTCTGGTCACCATATGAGGAACCTCAGCAAATAACTGCAGAAAGGAATCAAGCCTTCTGGAGCAATGCCAGTGCGAATGCGAAGTGGGGAGGGAGCCGGGGCACCCACTGCAGGAGCCGGAAATGCTGCTAAAAGCCGGTCTCCGGATAGCACATGGCCCTGCTCCTGGGGCATCTGACGCACAGTTAATAAGGCCTGTGTTGCTTTATTAAGTCTTTGTATTCCTACATCCTGTCTGAGCGTTGGATTGGCCAGGGCTGAAATTTGACACTGCCTTTACCCGCTCCCCCAGGATTATTTTTTGTTTTTGTTTTAATGAGCAAATCTAATCCAATTTTTAAGAAAGTTATTTACGGCAGTCTCCAGAAGGAACACTTACTCTTTCCTCTGCTCACCTCTGTCCGTGTCGGCCATGAGCACCAGTCATGGCCTTAAATGTTAAGCGCCTCCACCCGAGTAAATGAAACTCCCGAGAACAGACTTACAGGCAGCCTTACAGGCTCTTCGTTCAAAGTAAGGTGTCCGAGACGTGGGCACTGATTAGGTGCAGGGCACGTGACACGGGCCAGTCCAGAGCGGTTTGCTGGTTACACTGTTCCCAAGTACAGCCACCTACAGCGGGGCGGGCCGTGTGCTCTGCCTGCAGGGTCCGCGCCACCCTCCCAGGCACCAGCCACCGAGGGCCCCAGGACCCTGCCTGCTCCCTGCCTTTCACACACGGGCAGGAAGGTACTGGAAGGAGGGCAGAGAGTGAAACTGGGCATTTGTCCTTTGGCTCCCTTCCTACTGGGCCATCTCTGTTGGATGTGGCTCTCCGTATTGGTCACGGTGTGGATGCGATGGCCCCTGCCTTCCCACGGGTCCCTTGAGACCCTAAGGTGAGGAAGTCCTGCTGTGACTGCCCAGCACCATCCACTGACCTGCGTCTTACGCCCTAAACACACCAACACCTGTACGTAACCGCCCCGCCGCCCTGTCCTCAGTTCTCTAGCTCGTGTCTAGCTGCCAACGAGGAGGCTGGAGGTCACACTGTGACCCTCGGACGTCAGAGGGAAGACGGAGGGCCGCTCCCCGTCTCTCTGCATGGGCCCACGCACGAAGGTCTTCTGTCTCTCTGCTGTACTGATACGATCTGCTTTTTTTAACTGCGTTGGACGAAGACCCAGGCGTGGTGATAGGAGCCCAGCCTCAACGTTTCAACAACAGGAAAGGGGAAAGCCAAAGGGAGCAGAACGCAAAACCACGGCATCCACCGTGAGACGGTGCCATCGGCGGTACATTTCCTGAGGCCTTTGTGGAGAAGTCAGCAAATGCAAGGCCCTGGCCCTGGACACACGGACCACGTCCACCCAGTCCTCAGGGTGCTCACAGGTACACAGGACTGCGCTTACAGCCCAGAAGAGGAAGCCGAGCTCAGAGAAATCATACTCCGATGAAATAACTCTATCCTTAGTGTGCCTTTACAGTCTAGGCACTGTGACCTCTCTGTTACAAGAGTGGCCTAATTCATTTATATATGAATTTAAAACGTAGGCATCATTATTCCCTTCTTATAGCAAAAAGTGAAACAAAAATAACTGGCCTACAGAGGCTGGGCCTTTAACTATTATTCTACCAGCTAGCCTTTAAAATCGCATTAAAATGATTTACGGGAATTTGAACTATGATCTCTGTGACTGTGACAGTGCTTATTCACGAATCCGTCAGAAAGCGAGTATTGCAAGCAGCGTGCTGGTGCTGTCTGCTGTCACGAGGGGGTTTCACCCCGGACTCTGACAGTGGGGACAGCACGCCCTGATCGTCGGCTTTCTGTACAGTGACACACACTCTCACTGAATTACCCTTAGTTAAATGAACTTACAGAATATTTTATTTTAAATACTACTATTTTTATTTTTAAAACTTTTCTAAAGAATCACTTTAGCTTTATTTTTCAGAACAATACAGGCTGAAGGGCCAGCACAGAGGACTACATAGGTCTGGGAGGACATGACAGGGTTCCAGAGGGAGGTGGTGGGATGGAGGGATGCTGGGAGAAGACTGAACGTCAGCTCAGAGTCAGATTCTGGAGACATCAACTCCCACATTAAAGGCTTCCTAGAGTTTTCAAGAAGTTCATGAAAAAAGTGGGTATTATGAAAAAACAACAACAACAACAACACCACGCATGGGTTCCACAATTCATTCGGCCAAAAAACACTTGTACTTAGATTCCGTTTCTCTACGAACACTCCCCTGGTCGTGTCTAGGCCCGAGCTGCTCTGCACTCAATATGCAAAGCGAACCCCAGGAGTGATGCCTCCAGAGCTGTTCGGCTCGCACTGCAAGAAGGTCCCGAGCTGGGCTGCTGCTTGTGCCACCACCAGAGGCCCGTCTGTCCAAGTGGGTGACCAGGAGAGGCTGGGCCACCCCTGACACTGGCAAAGTCAGACATGACGGGTGGCCACGGGGGCGGGGAGGCTGGGAGGCCACCAGAAGATGCTCCCAGGAGGTGGGAGTCTCCCGCATCTCACAGGCCAGGAGTGCCCTTTGTGCCGCTTAATGGAAGGAAAGTTGTTGTTTTAAGCTACACTTGAAACTGTGTTCAGTCCTAAATAACCTCAGAAAGCATTTTAATTCTCTGTAAGCATCGCGGCCGCTTATTGGATTGTTTTTCCTTTGGCTTAAGTCTAATAAGATAAGAAAGCCACTAAGGATTAGTGATCCCTGACCCGCTTCGCTCACATGCTCTTACCACTCGTATTATGAATCAACTGAGCTGACTTAGGTAAAATAAACGGCCTCCTCGACTTTGTTTAATCTGGCAGGCCGAGAGACCGAGGTCTTCCTTCACGACCTGCCAAAGGTCCCACTGAGTTCATGGCAAATCCTTTCTCCTCTCGAGGGACGCGGCCTTCCTTTCTCGTCCGCCCTGTTCCCAAGAGCGGCTGTGGGAGAAGGGAAGAGGCCGGCTGCACAGCCTATGCCTCGGCACAGAGGCCCAGCTCATCGGGACGCTGCCCCCGCAGAGGTTTCGGGGAAACAGATCTCCCTGTGAACAAAAGGCTAATCCTATATTCTTCAGGTTCAACCTTGGTTGACAGTCATGGGCCAAGACTGCTTTCAGTTCTTGCCTATCACTGTCCTCTCAGACAGCATGTGCAGTTTCTCGGAGGAACGAAGAGGCCATCGGTGATCTAAGAGGATTGAAGAGGTGGGGAATGGGGTAACATGCTGTGTTTGAGACAGACCGGGTAGGATGCTGTGGCTGATGAGCCAGACCACTAGACGTGCTACGGCGACTTTGTGAAGGGCTTTCTTTTCTTTACTTTTTTTTTTTTAACTTTTTTTTTTCTTTTGCTAAAAGGGTGCATGCACAAATCAGGAGAGAGAGGGGGGGAGAGAGAGAGGGAGAGGGAGAGAGGAGAGAGAAAACATGACAGAGGAGAGAGAGAGGAAGTGAAATGACCCCCTAGGGGGTTGGCCACACCTCACTCCTTCTCTTTCACTCTCCTCTTGAGTTTTGGTAACATACACATGCCCAGAGTGATTTTCAAGCCTCCAGGTCCAGCACTCAAGCTATGCAGCTGACCATGTGGGATCCAGTGCCGTAAGCTCTGTGCCACCCGCTAGCCCGAAGATTTTATTTGAGGTGGCGTAGCCTTCAGAATGCTGACTGTCAGCACAAGTTCTCAGGAATGTGACGAGGTGGTGACAATGAACCGTGACACGATCTGAATGTTTCTCTACCTCTTCCTCAGGCTGTGCCCTCCTCCTGGAACAACTCTGCCCACTCT